TTATTATGATTAAGATACGAATCGTGACTTAGAGCGTCAACTACTATCGTAGTCAAATCTAAAAGTGTTTTGAAGCGGTAGCGCTAACACTAAACACGGGACTTGGGTCTCGTGTTTTAATTTATCCCTTAAATCTACACCATGCCAACGAAGATTTCAGAACATAGATAAAGAGAAATGAAGATATGTAAGATTATATATGGCTAAAAAGGAATTGCCTGGCGTGTTGTTCAGAGTTCATTTCAACACTTACCAACTGCTGACATGTCTCACGTGGCTGTTCCAAATTTTAACAGCTAAAGGTGCGCGATACACAGCTCACAAGAGTACTTAAAATCTTGACCAAGACAATCGGTTTCAATGCAATTTTTTTTTAATATTATAGGCAAATGAGCCTGTGGGACGGCCAAAAAGGGCAGTCATCGCAGCCCATAGACACCAATTTTTAGTGGGTGCGTTGCCGGCCTTTGAGGAAGGAGTACACTAGAATTTTGAATAGTTGGACGTCGTTCCTCTTAGGGAGTCGGCCCCCACCGGGAGTCGATTCCACAGTTCGCTAGTTCGCAAAAGAAAATTCCTTGTGAAACGGACTGTGGAAGACTTCAAGCCAACAAGGTGATGGTGATGAAGTTTTGAATTCATACGGCTCGTACTGTGTTGAAACGAGGCAGGACCGATCAACCCAAGCAATCCTTCAAAAAATTCACCGTAGTACACTTTATAGAAAACGCAAAGAGACGCAATGGCGTAGAGAGAGAGAATCAAGCCGACCAAACATTGGAGATTGACAATATTAAACGAATCCATAACTTTATCATGCATAGTGTTACCCTAATTTCTCAAAGCTTTTTATCTAAAATTCGTATAATATTTTTATACTAAGATTTCACTTTTTTATTGCTATTTTTTAATGAAAACCGCATTAAGTAATAAAAATTAGAAAGTTAGGTAGGTGCGGCGGTACAGAGGGACAAACATTTCTCAATTACGGCAATAAAAATAATATTGTAGGCAAACATACTTTGAGTACCGAGCCGACAGCTACCGATCGGTTTTGTGCAACGGAACAATGCGTTTGCGCACAAAAACCCAGCTTCTTCAAAGGTCCCTTTATTTTGGCCCAAACATTGGCATTGGGGCATTGTGGGACCCTTTGTCAGCTATTTACCGACTGTCGGGTTGTTACACTGAAGGGAGATTGGAAAAAAATGTGGCTTACGATTTGTTTCTTTGAAAGGATGGATTGACGACTTAATTTGTACGTTATTTAAATTGTATTATAATTCGGTTCTATGGGCAAATGAATATATTAAAGTTGTGTGAATTAGCCTGTACATTTTGTATATTCCAATTCGGCACTTAATTTACATGAATTTATTATGATAACGCCGTATATAAAACTAATTTTATTACAAAAAAAATCAAATGTTATGTCTATGTCTATGTCTAAATGAAAAGAGAGTAAAATAACATATATAATTAAGTTATTTAACATAATTTGGATGAGAAAACGTAGTTTCATTTCATTTGAGATCTTAATGAAACGAAATAAGATGTCTTTTGCTGTAACTACTTATGAAGACATTAGATAGGTATTTCATATATCATACAGTTGTTGTTTAGACAAAATGGTGCTGACAGACGAACGTATCTATCATGAATAGCATATACCCACACTAGATAAGACTTTGATAAGTTGACTATCTTCTTCTACTGAAGATCGTCGACTTGCTGCCTCCACACCACTCTATCATCAGCTGGTCTCAGGGCATTAGGGATATTGAGACCCATAATTGTCTTAAATTTGGCCAGACCAACGGGTAGTCGGGGTCAGGCCCCGACGTCTGAAGTAACTCTGTCCCTACTAATTCGTCGAGACTATTCGATTCTCTCCTGGCAATATGGCCAGACATGCATCCGTTTGTTTATGATAGTTGACAGTCTTGTGGTGATCTTTAGTTGCTAGAGAATGGATTTCTTGGTTATTTTTGCATTGGTATATCCAACATTTTTCCCCAACACCTCATAGTAATATTTCCGAACGAACATTTACGTGCCTTTTGGCAATGTAATTGTCCATGGGCGGCGGTGTCACCTAAGATGAACCTCCTGCTCATTTGCCCCGTGCTAGACTTTCATGACTGCGCTTGCGCGTAGATGTAAATTATAGAACTCGCATTTTACATTAATAACTTTTTCATCCTACCTATTATGTCTTACTTTACCAAATTGGTGGTATTTTCAAAAATACTTCTAGATAAAATTTGAGGTTTCGCACCCTAAATTCAGTGGACTGGAATAGCAAATTAAGAACTAAAACATATTAAGCTAATTTCATTTTTAGAAAGGCTATTGATCATCAAAGCCACTTTTTATTGCAATATTTACCTGATTTTTGCAAACGCACCGACACAACCCTTACCATAAACTTTATACATCCCGCCATACCATAACCATAAAACTTTACAATAAAACCAAAACATTTGCGAATTTTTCAAAACTTTTCTTATCTGCGTCATAAACTATATAATTGCTTTGTGAAATCGCTACAAAGGACTTTAAAGTCTGTTTAAACAATAGACCATAAAACCTTGTTAAAGTGCTACCTTGGTTACGAGTAACCTGTGTTATGAATATTTTTCAGATTAGTTGGTAATTCAGTTTACATAAACAAGATATCAAGATGTATGAAATACTTAAAGAGTAAATGAGTAGATCGTTCTGGAAAGGTACACGCAGCACACATGCAGTGTTTCTAGCATCCTTTACGGCTTTGGGCTTCTTATGTTTTAAAAAATAAATCGTTTATTTGATCTAATTTGGTACATTTATTGTATTCAAAATCGCACTAGGCATGAAAATGTCATATTAATTATCATAATTTCTTAATAATAAGAACAGTTGAGTTATAATTGTTGTGAAAACTTATGGTCTAAAACTCTCCCACGCGGTAAACTCACCTAGCATTTAATCACCTTCCCCTGGATAGCATCACACGGCAGTGTAATGATAATTCTTGTTTTTAAGCAATTACGTCTACGTACAGTCATGCCGCGTCAGGCTCTGTGTCAATAAAATGAAATTAACAATTTGAGGTTAAAACCTTAATACTCGATTATTTAAGTGATTTAAGGAAGAGGTTAAAATTTAAAAAGTTTTGTGACTAAAACAAGGTTTTAATCTTTTTAATTAAATTAATTATTAAAGGCAGTATTTCTCCTCAAACTTGATTTTTATATCCCTATTAAAAATACTAGATAACAGGAAACAAACTTTCGTTAGGAAAGTGACCTAAATATAGATATGCGCTTAGCTTACATATTCTTCTACTTAGTAATAATTAATATAATTAACTTATACTACATTTCCTTTATCCCTTTTTATATTATTTTGTATCTTTGGTAGTATTTAAAACTAAGTGAGATGTTTATGCATGGAAGACATTTCCTAAGTATATTACATTTCTAAGCATGTCTAGCTTTGCAGCAAAGTTAAATATTAAATGATTACCTTATTTATATCGAATAAAGCAACAAAATTATCTTAAGCTTCTCGGTGTAATATATTAATTAAATTTTTATTAAGCTTGAAGCTGTCACATTGTGAGGTACTTTAACTAATTAATATCAGGCATTTTTTTCCAGTATTTCATACGCCATTGATACTAAATTTTTTGACAACTCTTGTTTTGCGGTGAAAAATACTTATTCGCGTTTAGAATTTTTTTAATTGTCAAACAAATTCCTTGTTTCTATCCTCAAAATACAAGCGTATGTAAGATTTTAATATGGTATATTTAATTATAAATAATTGTATGATTCAGGTTTGGCATTGTTTAAAATGAAAACATTACATACAATTACAGTTTTCCAGTGGAAAATACAAGTTTGGTGTATCGCACGTGACGCGGGAAACTCTTCTAAGTTTCACGCCCAGCTAGCCCCGCCCACACCCTCTCGCTCGCACATTCCGCTCGCTTACACTTTCTTACTAACTTTTCACTTCTTTAATTTACTTACTTTGAAGTTTTTGAAAGTGTAAGCTACATGTACCTAAATGTATCCTATAATGTAGTTTATGTGTTTATGTATTTCCTTATCTACTCTAGCATATATTATTTCAAAATTATTAAAAGAAAAAAACATGTAAATTATTATCTTTCATTTTTCATTGAGTGTTCATTGTGGATAATAAGGACACTCTGAAACGTGTCAATTAAGTCCGGGCCGCTGACCCCAGGTGATCTGAATTCCTCGCATGCTTTAGCGAAATGAAGTGCCACCCCGAAACTGACAGCTCAAACATGAAAATCATAATTTTTCATGAGCTCGTTGATAGGTTTTCGCACCGACCGCGGTTTCCCGCCGCCCCGTGGCCTAATTACCACCGCCTCGCGATACGTCACCTCGGTAATTCAAAAAAATCCACCCGTCCCTCTCCCACCCGTCGGTGTGGTGTGGCGGCGTCCCATTCACGCGAGCATTTTTATAAAAACGCAGAGATCAACCGCGGCCGTCCCGCTCGTTCCCGCTGCGGCTCCGCGCTGCCCGCACCCTTCGTCTCCTTCCCACTTTTTACGAGACGTAGGGGCCGCCACCCGGTGGGGGCGGCGACCGCGCGAACGCAAAATATTGACCATCGGAAAAAGTCGCGTCGTATCGCAGTCATCAGTCGAAACTGAGGCCCCGCGTGTACGCGTCCTTCGCCGCAACTTCGGTGCGTGTCGTGCGTCTTCGGCTTGCGGTCTCGGCGGGTCGCCCATTTATTTTTCCGAGTCCCCTCCCGGCGTCTTGCCCTTGCCCAACAAGTGGTGAGCGCGGCGGGTTGCGGCTCATACGGCGTCTCGCGCCCATACTTTAAACAACTTGGAGCGTGCCGCGTTGTAAGTTTGAAATTCGATCGCGTGTTGTAAACTTTTTCGAAGTATAGTTTTAAGAGTTGTGACGTGACGGAGGACTTGAGTGGCGTGTAGACAAAGTGTTCGAAGGGTTCTGAAGTCGATGCACCTCCCGCACGCGAGCCCGACCCCGACCATGGCGGATGTTTACTCACATATCCATGAGTACTATAGGCAAAGTCACGGAGACCTGGTGCCGACTGGTTCCCCGGCTGTTTTGTGTTCAGCTCTACCTGGTCATTGGCGATCTAACAAGTCGTTACCGGTGGCTTTCAAAGTGGTGGCCCTGGATGACGTTCAGGATGGGACATTAGTGACAATCAAAGCTGGAAACGATGAGAATGTGATGGCTGAAATGCGGAACTGTACTGCGGTGATGAAGAATCAAGTGGCGAAGTTCAATGACTTGCGGTTTGTTGGTAGGAGCGGACGTGGAAAATCCTTTTCATTGACTATCACCATCAGTAGTTTCCCCTCTCAAGTGGCGACATATACCAAAGCTATCAAAGTTACCGTTGACGGACCAAGAGAACCTAGAACTAAACAAAGTAAGTTATTTGCAACTATTTTTTTAATATTCTTGATAAATAATAATTTTATTAAACAATTTTTAAATTTTATACCTCTATTATAACCCATAATTTAGTCTTAATATTATAGATTTATAAATAAATTTTATCCCAACGATAATCTAATTCAGAAAGCCAATAATTTAAGAACAATACCCTTAAATCACCCAGTAAATAAGATAAAAAAGAACTCGAAAAATATTCGTGCGTATGCGCTTGGCGGTTCGCCAGTAAGTACCGAGGTCGGTTTTGTGTCGCCGCAGCGTTTGACCACATTCGAAATAGTTCACTAAAATCAGAACATCAACACTTGCTATTAAACATTTCATTTTATATGCCTGCTGTGATATTTATAAACCAAACTGTCGAAGATTCTGTAAAATTTATAGAGACTAAGAATCGTTTCAACTTTATAATATATTTGAAAGGAAATTATGTTTATACATTATACAATTACAAATATCTTCAATATTTTCTTTAAACTACGTTTATATGCAAGACCAAAAAATATACAACTTAGTTGTTTAATATATATCTTTATGAAACAATAAGTTCTAACTATTATAATAATATAAGAATAACGTTAGTAAATTAATAATAATATAAGAAAAACGCTACCCTTCGCAATAAATACTATAGTAATTCTATACAAAGTACGTACGTAAGTTATACAATATAAAGCACATACTATGATTAACGCTTAGAAAATATAACATCTGTTCCATTGCACGGATATCAATCACATAGACATTAATTAGTCTTCTCAATTCCAACTCATTCGACTAAAATAACCTTAAAATAAATTACATTGTTTTGACAAGCTTATGTATGGATATTTAACAAAAGCTTTTAATCGTACAACAAACTTATTTTTGGAACCAAGATTATAATGGTAAACTATATAACCCCTAGGGCCTAGAAAGGGTTTAAAAGTTTTGGGATAAAATTGGAAATTATTAAGAAAATTTATTTGTGAATCAGTCGTTAACTATTGTTAATAGTATGATGTTTATTAAATTAATATTAATTGTTACGTGTCTTCGATAATTATTTAATACTTAATATAAAATTGTATTACAAAGCTTAAGAAATAAATTAGAAAAGTTTAAAAATCGGATTAAAACCTCTAAAGAAATTTAAAAGTAAATTTTCTTTAAATTCAATATAAAGCTTTCTAATAATGTTTTGACAAGACCATCTATTTCGGTTACAACCAACCGTCTGTATAAACAAATGCTGCGCCCAAACTTCGGCCAATAATAAAAAAGACACTATGCGGAAAAACTAACATCCTCTGTAAAGATCAAAGGAAATAATAACCTAATCATTGGTTTACAACAGTAATTAATCTGAAATGAAATGTCTTACTGGCGTCATTACTTTGTATGTACGTAATTATCTCGCTCACATTTTCTAGTTTTTAAGACTACCTTTAAGATGCATAGTATTTTTTACGGGTAATTAGTTTTCTCGCATAGCGATAGTGTTTGACGATTAGCTATTTTAAAAGAGTACCGAGAGTTTTTTACGCCGGGTTTTTCTCTCGGCCTACACCCTGTCTTCTTTGCCGATGAGTAGGGATGCCTACAGATTCAAATTTAATGATGAGGAATAAGTAATGCCTGTATCTTATGTTCTATAATAAACATATTTTATTTTATTTATTTATTTTCGTCTCTGAAGTAATAATTCGCGTCAAAAAGAACTATTTCAAAAAATCTATTCCAAAACGTATTTCATATTATATATTAGTCTGTGTCAAATTATTCAAATTTGATTTAACGGAGATATTTGTCTATGACTGAATTTGACAACTGACGTGTTTCTGTAATACACAGCTACTTGACCTGCAAGTCAAAGAAGTCGTCTGTAAATATAATTTTGACCAGGCATATTTTGCAATAAAAGCTAAATCCGTGACTCCAGAACATTCACAAATGTAATGCGTTAGTACAGCGGTTAGCGAGTTCCACCGTGCGGCCACGGCGTGTAACAGATGTAAACAATCTCTGGAACCGTCGTAAACTCCGTTTGATCTCGCCTGCCTCTAAAATATGGATTTTATGTCCCTCCTCAATGCCCCAACACCACATCTACCAACCCTATGTGAACCCAAAGTTATATTCAGTTAATGTCCTTTAATATGCATGAAGGCAAATAGAATTAATAATACTGATTATTGGATACACAACAATACGAAATTTAATTTAATTTACGAAAGATTATTATTAAATAATATTATAGAATCTAATTTGCTATTTTAGAAATAACTTTTTTACGATCCTGCTGCTTTGATACAACTGTTAAAATCTTTTAATTGAAAGTGTCTGCTGATTACAACCAATTCCATAACTTGTATAGTCTTTCTTTTAAATATTGTGTCTATTTAAAATACAAATTTTATAAGATGAATATCAACCGGTAACCGTTATAGACGTCACCACCCCGCCTCACATTACGAGCAATAACTCTGATTCCAAACGCACCCAACACGTCTTCATTATTAATTTACGAGACGCCGTTATAGTTATTTAACGCGTATCATGACACTTATAAACTCCATACTTTTGTTGTGTCTTGGTACCGAATCGGTCGCCGCGCAACCATCAAACATTTTTATGATCGACCCAGATAACCATGCGCCCACATTTGTCATAATTTAAATATATCATCGTTTAACTGTTCACGTTTTATGATAGGGTTGAGTAGAGCTATGGCGTTAACAAATGAAGCCGAGTGCTACATTTCACTCATTATTACCGGGATGCCGATCCATGGATAACCTCGTGACAGCGCGACGGGCCATCAATCACGTTCTTAATTTAAAACCCGCGATTTGGGATACGCCAAACAGAATACAAACACTCGTTTATGTCAGATACAGGAAGAAATAGATCGAGAGATTCTTATGTGTAATAAAAACGTCAGCATAAACATCTGATAAACATGCAATTACAGCTTTGTTTAGCTCTTTAAAATGGGCGAACTTCTTAGGGAAACTTACGCAATAAACTTTGAAGAGTCACTAAATTCCGTTAAAACAAAGTAGGTAAAGTGCTCGTAAACAGTTAATCCCGTAATAAAATTGTCGATACCTGATCTCATCGATTGATTAAAAACGGCCATAAACTGAAAATAGACGTCTTCAGTGTATCGATTAAACAAATAAAAAATGCGCTAGAAGGCAACGTCAGTAAAGGATCGTAAAATCGTATAGCAGAGGTGCCGGCTTGCAGTAAACCTTATGTATACAGACTCCTTGTTACTCTGCCGTGGTAAACATTACCGTGTGTCGGCAGCTCTTTGTGCGACTTGATTGCGACATTCGTGGACGACGTCGGAACACAATCCCGCACCGCTCCTTAGAAGCTTACGTGCTCCTTAAGAAAATTCAATTTAAATGCAATTTTCTTTACATAGTTAACAGTATTATTATATATTGGATTCTTCAAATAATAACCTTACTTATCTCTTGTTTTAGATTACGGATATGGGCACCCTGGAGCATTTAGTCCGTTCCTTCTAAATCCTGGATGGTTAGACGCAGCTTATCTTAACTACGCCTGGGTAGACTACTTCAGACCGCCTCAAACAGCAAGTCTTATCAAAGGTAATTATTGATTTATTTAATTGATATCCTCTCATTTGCAAAATACTATGAATGTATTTGCGATTGATAATAACAGAAACGATTTGAAAATAATAACTCAAAGCAGTAACACATCCGGTATCTCTTAAACTTCCAATCGACGGATTATTTGGCATTCGTTAATTTGGAAATACCCGATTTTTCAAACAACACTCGAAAACATGTTGCTCCAAACTGAACCACCCCTCAAGGCCGTGCAACGCAAAGGTTCAAATAAAAGGAGCGTCTCTTGAGCGCTGCAAAACAACACGGCTCCGACCGAAGCAAAACCACCCGCTGAAGTCCGTTGTCGGGGGAAGTGCGCCCCCACTCAATGGAAAAAGTACAAAAAGCACCACCTTCACGTTCGAGAGAGTGTGGAGTCAATTTTATTCCAATGTAGGCGACCGCGCCACCGGCCACTTTTTGTTTCCGACGCTGAAACGCGAGGAGCGTTGTACTCAAACACCTACCAGCTTTTATTAAACCCTGCCAGATACTTTTTCACAGAGATTTGCGTGACTTTGCGTGTACCAATCGATCTAGACGAATGATACCAACACACCAGCAACTATGTAAATAACAGACAATTTGCAAGTTGTATAGTCCTTTGTCACTATGTCTAGAGTGGGTAAAGAGACCCATCGTGGCTGTTACGCGAACTAAGAGACATCTTATTTGCCAGTCATTTAATTATAAAATAAAATGGTTTTAATTTTTCATTATAAGTATCAAGATAATACCTGTTGAACTATAATGACGTAATGTCAACATAACAAAAAAGGTCATTTAGCACTGCACCGATCTCAAATGCCACGAATAGTTTTATTATTGTCAGGGCAAAACAATTTTTTTTAAGAATGACGCGTTTAATACATGTCACAGTAAGTTGTCATAAATTAATAAAATTCATCCAATGAATCACTGTTAATGTGTCGAACAATCTGTTTAAACCAGTTTGTAACCCTAGAGCTCAATGTCATTAAAAACCTCTTACTTACACTACACTACTATAGTTAGTACGACAACACTAATGTATGCCATCTGAATTTAATTTCATATCACTTCTACATTCTCTAATGGGAATAAATTGCAAACGTTGTGAAACAGAGAACGAACCAATTTTAATTGAACTAAAACTATATTAAAGAGAACCATCAGAAATCACCTCAATCAGGCGCTATGTCGATATTGGTCCCCACCTCGCCAAATTACCCCCTAGTTACGCCACCCGCCCCCGACGCCTTTTAAAGTGGTCTGTGCAGCAGTGCTACTGCTGCAAATACAAAAAATGCAAAAGAAATCCCGGCAGCGCCACCTCTGAGCTCTTTGTGGCCCAATCTGCGCCTCCATCGTGCACTTTTTATCAAGTTTCTCTTACACTTATCGAGAATCAAAGCCCCGGTACTGCGACAAGAATATTTCGAACACTGTTACTAATGAAAATTTCACGTTCCGAGGTCGCTTTGTTCGTTCTGTACGAGATAGCTTCCTTATCGCGATACAGCCGGCTTTGTACCGCACATGTCCGTGGCACGGCCTCACGCGTGTATAGCATTGCTAATGTGATCTCCGGATAGAACAGAAAAGAGACATATCGGACTGAATTACATCGAATGTCGCGTCTGGATCGTAAAGTACGACATTGCATTCGGATAAATAAATATTGCACCCTCACCCTACCAATATCGTGCTAAAAAAACATCCCTTTCAGTGAAGCCGCCTTTAAACGCCTACAGATTGTACATTATCCTTAGTACGATTATGCACCCTCGTTGTTCAGGGAATCGGTGAAGTGCCCGCGTGCCTTAGGCTGTCCCCAGAGAGTCGTCTCTCATATTACGTCATGTTCTCAAATCAAACAACACTAGTAGCATTAAGAAGCAAATGAATCAATAATAAGCTTAGCATCTAATCATCAATTCTAATTTGCATATTTTATTGTCCACAGGTACTGCATCAATGGCTACGCCGCCGGTTCCACTGCCACCTTCAGATTTGTTTCCATTCCCACCTGCTATGACAAACCTACCTCCTGCTGGATTATTACCGCCACCTGGTGCATTTTTACCACCTAACGGCCTTCTGCCTTTTGCACCTCATCCTGCGGACCTAGCACTAAAATCTCTACCATCGGAACTTACGTTGAAGAACGGTATGAGTCCTTATGATGCGATAAGGCACCTACAAAGCAGTGTTTCATCAATGGATAACTCCAGTGCACGCCTATCACCAACGAGCAGTAGGCAGAGCGGTAGCCCAAGAAGTATTATCAACGCTAGTCCAAGATCGAAAGCCGATTCAAAATCTGAAGTTAATTCAACGCACGATGCAACTATATCGGATGAGTCCGATGAAGAGCCGATTGAGGTTGTCAAATCCGCTTTTCATCCAACGCGACCGGCTAACGTTGAGCTCCAGGAGATGAAGCAAGTCCAAGCTGCAGACTCCACAGTGTGCGACAAACCAAGAGGTCGCAATGAACTAAAAGCGCCTTCTCAACGTACGACGCGCGTGCTTTCCACAAGCCCCACCTCCACAAAGATAACGAATGGAACCTTAACGCATAAATCAGTTTGGCGACCGTACTGACGCTTCTAGAGTAGTGAAGTGAGTGACAAATATGTCCGTGACAATTGTATGAAAACGGACCAAAATGTGATAAATCGAGCTTGTAAATATTATAGAAGATACAAAGATATAGATATATTTATTGTTAGCATAGGATATTAGATTTAAATGCTACGTCAGTAGTTGTTCAAAGTTATCCAAAAACTTTTGCAATTAATAGGAATTATTGTTGTCTACGAATTGTTATAGCTGTAAAAATTGCTGAAGATTGTAATAATCACGAGTCATGTAAATAAAGTAACTTAGTGTTGTAAATTGTAGAAATATGTAAATTGCGACAAATGACTGATTATAGAGTTTTATGAGTCTTGTAAATGTAAAAATATTTATTGATTGTAAAAAAAAGTTATTAACAAGGTATGTAATGTTAGAAATCGCTAACACGTCTTGTATATTTAAAATTACGTAGGCAAACAAATAAATTGACCTATACAAATTAAAACCTCTATTATTTTTCTACATTTTAAAAAACGTTAAAATAATCACTACTTAGTAATGATACAAAAACAATAATTAATTAAATTGTCGTAATTCATACTTTAATTAATCAAATTACACTAAGACTTTAACCGCAAAATTATTAAAATTTCGCACCTACAGAAATATTCAATGCAGATTAATTTAAACTCATTTATATAGATTTTTGATTAAAGTAATACCTTCTGACAGATGCTACTGTTTGTTTATAGCCATAAATAATGAAACGTGCATTGCACATGTTATTTCACTCGTGTCTATGAGAACAGCCGAGTTCAATATAGTAAATACAAATCGTATTTCCTACGCATTGGAATTTTTTCTATAAATGAAATTGCTTGTTAAACTATTTCATATGAAGAGCCGAATCTCAGGGAAATAATTTTCTCCTTAGATACGTATTCATGAAAAATCAACGAAATGTACGCCAGGTGATGTGATGTGCGTCTACTAGATTCCCACTGGGGAATTGGGTACATATCTACACACATTAACGAATATATAGTTATTATTATAGTTAATCAAAGCCTTAAAGTACATACGATTTCAACAAAGTTCCACCATCTTAAATCTCTGCTAAAATATTCCATTGCGATGTAAAAAAATCTTCTAATCAGTAATATTATCATTAAGTTCAATCCAATGCAACTTATCAAACTTTCCAAGAACTTACACCACTCACAGAAAGAATGAAAATTTATATACTTACCGTGAAAATTACATAAGGCCATATAAAATGTCTCTTAGGTACTATCAATGGCGCTGCGCGGTGATCTGGTTAGCTGATTGCACCCTGCCGCCCGACTGCGCCCGCCGGCGGTCAGCCGCTCCTCAAACATTGCAAAATTATACAACTACTGGATGTGTGATATCAAAAGTATATACTAGATGTTTTGTAGGTGCACAACGTCTTATAATTAGGGTGAGAGAAAAAACATGATAGGGTACTTTGAGGTATTTGGTATTTTGGGTTACCTCGTTGAGGCGTTACATTTAAAATTGACATAATTGGAATAATGTAATTGATCAATTCAATTGTGATTTATTTACTTTTTATATATAAAAATACTATAAAAAATAAAATAATTTTTTTGAAAAATAACCATCCATAATATTTTTATGACGTGTACTAATATCTCAGTAAACTTAAGACAACCGATGTTTTTTAGGTGCACAACGGACTACTGAGAGTCTAAGTGCGGAAACTGAGTCCACAAACCAATATTGTCTATCCATTTATAATAAAATGTGATATTCTTTATACGGAAGTGGACTTTGTGTATGCGAAATAGATCACTGAACACTTAAAGTCGTCTTGACTTTTGGCATACAGTTAGGGTTCCCGTGTATCTCGCAGCAACATCTAATATTATAGACCTTAATATTTTACGAAAACTACTTTCATCTAAATACTGTATGGTGTGTATACTATCTGATATGTCTAATTAATTAATCCTAAAATAGACCTGAAAGGTGCATCAACCATTAAAAGATATAATTCATGACAGTCGCAGCATTTCATTATGAAACGAATATAGGTATTTAATTTCTAATTATAAAGGTATTTTTAAAAATTTACTTATTTTAAAATTAAAACATAGATGAACAGTTTCTTATTAATTATATTACGAAATAAAATAACGTATACCAGAGGAAAAATTAAAATTTTCAAAATCCAGAAGCAAGTAGTCGCATCTAGTCCCCAACATCTCCGTACTTCCATTGAATGAGGCCTCCTCATTATGTTACCTTTGATTCACATCTGAGGCGTCGACTTTATGATTCGCTTTTTGGTGAACTCCATACATTATACACCAGCCTATTTGGATGTATTAAAAAGCTGTGGCCAGACGGCCGGGCCGCGTCAGTGAATGTATTTTGTTTGAATTTCAAATTTTGTTTGAGCTGACGCTTCAATGCACGAGTGATTACGCTAACACTGATGTGCTACTGTTTTATCTACATTCTATTGTATACAATTTATTGGCCCGTGTTTGTACTGTCCCTGCACCGTTATACAATTAATTAAGTTTTTTGTGACATAGAACTAATATAATCACGAGGGTGATAAAAGAAAAATATAGGTGATATAGTCCCACACCAAAAGACTTACTACAATAACGGACCTCATACAAATCGTTTTATATCATATTTTTCTATATACAAATACTGGTGATCACCGAATCGAAGAGGGTTTTGGTAAGTTCAAAGCAAGTTTATCTGTGTGCTGCGTTGTGATGTGTTTTCTTTCTTCTTAAATAAAAAAACAACAACAATTAAAATTCGCTAAATACTAGTTATGGGGGACGGGCAGTCGGGGCATGTTCTTGGTGGGAATCTCAGACTGTTATATTAGAGTAAGCGAAACCCCATTTAGTTCGCGTATTTCACGTCCTAGTCGTACACCCGGAGACCTGATTCAGCCACGCCCAAGCGTTAGTCTTAGCTTATTTGGAGCTAAGCTAACGATGCAAGGCAAAAAGCTAATATTCTAAGCCTCAAATCAGAATGCACAATAGGGAGAAAACACATATAAAACCGAGCTAGTCCACACTAGCTTCGAAGGCAACCCCAATGTGGGTTAATCACCTGCTTGCCTGAAATCAATGAATCAAGAAACCAAAACAGTGAGAAACTGGACTGGTCAATTAAATACTACGTCAAATATCTATAGGTACCTATACGAATAGAAAGCGTGTGTGTAAAACAGTATATAGACAGAGGGGTATCAATATCTGATATTTACTGTCTGGCTATTTTATTGTGAAAGTTTAATAGCTGTATAAATTTATATTATATTTTAGTGCAAATTTATATTGTATTATACAATCTAAAGCACAAATATATTTTATAATAAACTATATAATTTTGATAAATTATTTAAATAGTTAATACTTTACATGTAGTTTATTAAGGAATATTGTAATGAACAAATTTTAAAAACAACAGCTATTTGCTATATGTCGGTAGCAGTTTTTGATGGGTGAGTTATAAATGCGAGCGAGACTATCTCAATATGTGATTTTTATCCTTTTTTTTAGGCTGGATAAATAAATGGAGACAAAAGAATTTAAACCGCATTGCTATCTACAAAAAATATTATATTTAGTCTGTTCATACTCATTCTTCTTTCAATTGACGAATTCAATCAAATCGTGCAAATAATTTCAACAGTACCTTATCTCTAATCTTTGATTTGTCTTATTTTTTTAAATAAAAACATATAGGCCCTATAAGTCTATATGTTTTTTTGCGAATTCTTGACGAATATATCTAAAAATTGGTGCCTTCTTTGAAATCTCTCTCGAAAGTTAGCCTTCGGGCAGGACACAACATATCGATAAGGCTTTCATTGTTTCAGCCGTCGCAGGAAAGCCTGTGTCCTATACCCCGCCTCGGGGAACACTGATCGAAAAAATCTAAATGGAACCACTTTCAAGCGTTAGGACGATTCGGCCAAAATAAAAATTCACTTTAACCGTTACAGCTTTGGGTTACCGATAGGTGCCTTTGTCGAGTTTTATTTGCAAAATATGCATTATTTATTTCATCAGAGCTTGTGTTGTTGTAAAGGGAAGACCATGATTCTAAGTGTAAAGATGCTCCTAAGACAGGTTAAAACAACTAAGAATGTAATAGGTATGAACTTCACTATGGATTTTTAAATTAATTAGGAAACTGTAATCTGTGCAATATTAAAAAAAACAATATCGTATATATAACCACATTCTTTGCAGTACGTTAAGAGCATTTAACCGACGCATTTGAAACGGGTTCGATTCTCGTAAAAAATTAAATATTATCTAGTAATATCATAAAATGAGGATATTTTACATATCATTAAGAAAATAAAATTACGGATTAATTTTAACTACGCATTTAAATATCTTCATTATATTCTTTGCAATTTTAATAGAACTTACTCAAGCACCATGATATATACGTATGTACAGTGTACACTTATGTCTTATAAATCATCAAATTTCCGGGTAAATAAATATGAACATCAAAATGACCTTACAATGTAGGGGGCAGCTTCAGTGGACAATGGGATAGAAGAAATCACGTCGATAAAATTTTAATGCCTGTATAAAAAGGCTATAAATTTGATTTACGCGCCCCTGACCCCCGTAAAACGGGGTAATATCGAGAAATAACATGAGATAATGTCGGGTTACAAAGTGGGGTGGGTGGGATTAGGCCATATTTGCGTTCGCGATGCGGCCGATACGGTTGCTGGCTATACCAACGTCCAATCAATCTGTTTGGCACTAAATTCAAAGTAGATTTTTGAAAATGGAACCTTGTTTAACTGAAGACTTAACTCACACTTAAGTGAACTAATGCAATATTTGTATAATGTTTATTTTAAATTTAGAATTGTAGCAGTGTCTAAGTCACTTTTCACTATAAAGTGTTAAAATTAAGTACAACATATTAAATTTCATATAATTTAACTTGCATAAGAAACACTATAAATAATT